TTGACCATGAAGCTGCATGCTCAATGGCAAAACCATGTGAACAGAAAGGAATTTTAAGAAGAGATAAAAGAGTTTCTAATGCACGGGTGAAGAAGGAACTAGGACTGAGGCTTCTTCATCCTAGTTATAAATCAGGGTTGCAGAGCATTATTGATCAGATGGATACTCCAGTTTGCTACAACCGAGAGTTCAAACCAAATAGATAAAGACAACAAAGAAGAGTGAATTTCATGCAATTGGATGAATTGCACTAGAGATGGGACAAAAATATCAGGTACTCTAATATCCCCGATGAAGTTAAAAGTATGTCTAAATTACATTGTAAAATTTCAAACTTTGTGAACTTGAATCGGAAAACTCCTAGTGTGTATAAATTATTACACAGTTTTTCTTATTGCCATTGGTTTTCTTTTTTAGGAGACTATATTTGTTATTCCTAGTGTTCCTGGTGCTTTTAATGTTAAATTTGTCTGTAAAAAATAAAAATTGTGTTACTTAACAGTTATTTGCTTTAAATTTTGTATATTATAAATATATATCATGATATATCAAACATAATAATATAAATAACCACTGTATGCGGTTGAGGTTTGAACAAGTATGTTGAGTTTATAGTTTATGAAACCCAGAACCAAATATAATCAGTATATTGAACTAGAGAAGGCAACAGCGGATGTTTAGCCTTTTAGCCACTTTTATATATGTGTATGTGTATGTACATATGTACTACTAGTACAAGTTTTTCTGAGCTTTTGACAAAGAGTTTGATATGGATTAAGAAATACAAAATTTCTCGCTTTTTAAAAAAAATATTCTTACAAACTATTTCATTATTTACTTTTTACCTTCTTCTCATAAATATTCATATCCTATTTCATACAATATGAATTTTTTCCCTGATTAATTTCCCCAAGCTCTAGGAAAAAAGACTATCTTAAGATGGAGGGTGAGAAGATGTGTTGATAAGTCTTCATTGCTTTGGTCTTTTGAGATTAAAATGCTTGATTTTATTAAGCCTCTTGTGGGACATTTTAATTTTCTAGTATTAGTCGAGGACCATAAACCATGATAGCAGTAACATACATAGAAAATTGTGACTGATATTGTCCTTGTTGCTTAATTTGTGTATACGAATATACTTGAGTAAAACTAATAAATTTTTGCTGTCTCTAATGCTTGCTTTGGATTTGGTGCCTCCAAACCTATCTATTCTTTGGTGTTGAATACTATTGATCGTTCAGATCGTGAAAAAGTTGGGATTAGTTGAGGTCGCCCTGAAAAAATTGGTATCACAGCTTAAGCTTGAAGGTGCTTAAATTATGCAGAGGCTAGAAGTACTTACTACTCAAGCATGCTCATGTTTTAGATTTGGTAACTACCTTTTATTTACCTCGTCTTAGCATAGAATTCAACTATATGGTTCTTATTGAAGGTTATACGAGTGGTAATTGGTGAGATGTCTTTTCTAAATCTGATCTCGCAGTTTTATTCTTTTCTTTTTTCTGCATGTATTCTTAAATGGTGAATATCTAGTGATAACTCTACACTGATAATGCATTATCATGGGAAAAAGGGTTACGTCGTTTATTCATACATGTTCGTAAGAATCTGTTGTGAAAATAGCGCAGGGCATATGCAACGGAATTGAAAAAAATTTATATTATGTTTAACATTTATTAAAAATAAAACTAAGGAGTATCACATTATGTGATTTTAGGCATTTGCTTGATCTCTAGTTATATTAGATTCTAGTGGTCAATAATTAATGATGAAATAGTCAAAGATTAATTTTTTTTTTTTTTACTGCGTTGACTCTTTTGTAGATCTTTGAAGGACGAACAATCTTTAACTGTGTAATGGGCTTGAATACTTGATTCTCTATGCGGGTTGTAGTGTTCTTATAGCTTTTGAAAACATTTGTTTGTTGTAGAAGCTTTAATCACGAGGTAATTGCTTGAAGCTTTAATCATGAATTCATTATAGATGTGGATTTGATTGCTTGAGAAACTGATTGCAGAAGATTCAATCACTTGATTGCATGAAGGGTTGAGTGCAATTCTTTATTTATTGGAACACTTAAAATGAGTACTTTGAGAGAAACCTTGCTCTTGTTATTAGAAGAAAAAAGTGGGAAGAGGAGAAAACCTTGCTTTTTTCACTGTCTTTGGGAGAGTATAAAAAAGAAACTTGCTCTTGCTCTTGCTCTTGCCTGTATTACTACTATCCAACCTTTTCTACTATTATTTTTAGAGATGACAAGGTTGTAAAGGTTATTCTAAATCTTAGAATGAATTTGATAACGATACATGTATATATTTTTGTCTATAATTTAATAGAATTATATTAATCAAAAATATGCATAAAAACAAAATTAAAATAGTTGGTGTTTGTCAAATACATTTTACACAAGTTCAATGAATATAATCTTATCATACTATTTTATTAATTATTTATTTATTTATTTTGGTGAATAGTCAAAAAAGATACTTCAAATTTTTATTGTCTATAAATATATTTTTTGTCCATAATTTTTTATCTATTTCTTGTTTTAGTCTCTATCGTATCGAATTATGTAATAATGATTAAATTTTTAATAAATATTTTATTTTTGAGTAAATGATGTATATATTTATTAATTAAGTAATATGCATACATTAACCGCAATACAACATAAATACTTGTCAAACGAAGTTATAAACGAAAACTAATTTAACTAACTTGAATATACAATTTCTTATAGAAAAATAAACATATCAAGTATTAAGTTAAATAATGATCCATAATAAGCATCTCAATTTATATATTATATTAGTTTAATTTGTTATAACTAACTCCACTTAATAAAAGATAATTTTTTACTATGCAATATCATCGAATTTTTAATTATAGAATGTACATATTAAAATTCTAATTAATTTTAATAGAGTTAATTAACACCACAAACAAATTGAGTTATTCATAAATTTGAGTCACACTGGAATATTTTAAAAAAACTCACGTACCGAAACAAGAAATGAATAAAAAGTCGTGCAGCAAATTATATTTGAAATTTTAAATAATATTAAGTATTTTAAATTTTCTAAAAATTAAAATTATTTTTGAAATATTTAATTTAATTCAAAATATTTTATTTAGTACTAATAATTACATTATATATAATTTTTTAAATTAATAATTATATATATTGAAGTAATAATTATAAATGCATATGTAATCGTTTAGTATACCTATTTGTAGTTAATTAGTATTTTTTATTAATATGTTTATAAAATTTTAAAAAAATAAATTTATTAATCTATTTATAATTTAATATGATATTAATTGAATCAATTGAATTGATTCGGTCAGTTTAACTTTAGTCATTATATAAAATTCAGTTAGTTTGATTAGTTATGATGCTTCATTCAGTTCCATCTAATGTGTTTATGGAACTGTAAAGTAAAATTATATTGTTAATCATATCTTTAATATTTTGTTAATTTTTTTAAAAGTGAACATATGTTCTGGTTAGCCATATATTTAGGATTTTTTTATTACATTTCGTGTAGAATGCTTAAGTACATAATCATAGTGCTAATATATCTCTTTCGTAAAAGCTTTCTCTATAATACTCATGAATAATTGCTCTTTTAAAAATTTTGTACAAATATATAATTTTAACAAGTTAAATATCATGATACTATTTTAAGTTTTTTTTTTTTATTTGTTATAATAATAATAATAATAAATGATTCATTCTTAACTAATTTTATTTTTATTCTTTACCTTATTGCAAAAAAAGTCAATACATCTATGAAGATTTTTGTTTAAAAAATGAAGACACTTGGTATTTGATATTGACGACCACAACTTAACTCTTTAACTTGTATTTTTTA